ATGCTCTGATGCTGGACTAGGTACGTTCCACAAGACCTCTCTGGCGCTCCGACCAAGTTACGAAAATCAGATACAACCAACACTATAATAAAGGAGATTGCAACTAAACATAAGCCAACACCACCTTAGTCTTCATATCTTAGATTTAAAGTTTTAGTATTGACTAACATTTAATGGAAAAGTTTTGAGTGGCGTGCTCTATTGAGGAGAGCAGCGATAAAATAAAAGTTACAACGTTAATTAATGAATCGGCTAAAGATGAAACGGCCTGTCGGGACAAAGGTTACAGTAGACTTATTTGGCGTTCCATTTCATCTAAGTTATTTACATCAGTTTGACACAATGATGCAAAAGTCGTCACAAAATAATAAAAGCTAAATTTTGCACATTAACAGATGCAATTACTGCTTTATTTATAAACTATTTAAAGACTAATCTGAGCAAATGTGTGAATTCATACCATCTGTAATATCGTACCTCCACAGGTTTCCCCTTAACCTCAGAATAACACTGAAGTCTAAAGTAAAGGACATTGTTTTTCTATTTATCGTATCCTGGTCTTTTTTTAAATCTACGTTTATATCAACAAAGGTAAACATTTTTCTAACTATTTTTAGACGAGAATCTTTTATTAAAAATCACACATTTTTTAAACAAAACCTTGTCTCGTCTATTAGCCAAAGGAATCACAATGAAATATCCCCACTTACCCACAAGTAATTAGGCGCTCGATGCTTGTAGATACTTTCAACTCAGATATACCATTAAAAAATCTACTCTGCTTTTAATCCGTCTCCTCATATAGGCAACGCTCGTGATGCCCAAGATCTGAATTTGCTATCGAGAATCGGCGTTACACACATCCTAAACGTAACCGACTGCGTACCGATGCCTTTTGAAGGAGATCGTAGGTTCCGTTACCTGCGTCTTCCTGCCTGTGATAATAATCAGCAGGACCTCAGGCCGGCATTTGAGGCTTCCGTAGATTTCATCGGTATTATAATATTTAATTATGCTTACTATTATTTATTTTTTTATAAGTAGGTTTTTACAGATTACCAGTAGATCTGATATTATATTATTATATTATTATATATTTGGAAAACCGCATGATTAAGAAATTTATAGATCAAATTCATCAGAAGACGATGGCTGATTCTCCTTGTACTACAGCCGTTTGGCCTTAATGCGACGTTCAGGTTGACACAGTCCACGAGGCATCCTCCTCTTCAGGTTAAAAAAGGGCTGAGCTATCTTCCATCATCTGATGGACATCATCAGAGTTGGAACTCATTCTTATATATACTTATAACTAAAAACGAAAATGAATAAGCATATATATATATATATTTAGGATGATTTGTCTAATTATCTTTTATGCTGATCATGCTACTGTTACTCGAGATCCTAGTGCTACAAGATTGTGTGCTGTGGTCGGCCCATTCGACAAAGATTAGTGGAACACGAAAATGTTTGTTGAGGGAGCTATGTCCAACTTTGAGAATTATCCGAACACGCAGGTCAGAGATTAAACGAGTAGGTTTGCTGTTGAAGTTGAAAAAGAACTATGTTTGGAGGTTTTTGGACTTTGTTTTCGCAACTTGTTCATATATGTAGGAAGACTTAGAGAAACACAACTAGTCCGGAATCCATTGTATGCATAATACTTTCCAAAATCGGACCCTGAACGTGGGACATTCCCAAACGTTTCGCCGGCATCATCAGTGAGTCTCGCAATACTTAGCACCATACAACAACTCGTGAAAGAGACAAGTAAGCCTATCCTATGACCAAACATGTGCTAAACATTTTTGGTATCTCCCCTTCCTATTTTCTATATCCTCCTATCACATCTTCACTGTCACAATTTTTTTCCGTGCCTATTTAGATGTAGTGCGGTGTGCTCCTTTGAGCGGCATTCATGAAAACCCTTCACACTTCACGCTGGCATTCTCAGAGTCTCCCTCTTGCTATCTGCCTGGCACAGGTATTACACTCAACCCCTGTCCCCCCCCACATCTGGGCTACTCGAGGCGTAATTCGCCCATCCTCTGCACCTGGGTGACTAATTCAAGGCTAAAGCCTCTGAGTAAGTCTCATGGTCACGTCTTTGCTACATGGACCACGTCTGGTAAAACTGTCAGCCAACTAGCTCCAGTCTCCGCCGCTTCTATCCTGTTTCTTTCTCTAAAACCAAGTCTATGACTTGCCATGCCCTAGTCTCTTGTGTGCCAACCCACAAATGTTGTGATACTGCTTGCTCTGATTAGGTTCAATGTTAAACTTGCCCAAATTTTCCATTCAGTGAGAGTGGAGATCCCATTGGTAGTCCAAATATTTGCTCGTAGATACTGGCGTTAAATGTAAAATTTGTGGTACTTAATGTCAGGTTGATCAATAGTGTTAACGATTCTTTTCGTATCCGATTTGCCTCCAGGATGTCCTTTCGTTGTATAGAAGTTGTTTGATCTTGTTTTCGCAACTTGGTCACATTGGTAGGAAGACTTAGAGGAACGCACCTAGTCTGGATTCCTTTTTATGCATAATACTATTTAAATTCATACATCTCAAGCCTAGATTAAGAAAGGATCTAGGTAGGGTTCTCACTTTGGATGATTTTCAAAAAAGAACTCCAGAGCATGACCGATCAGAAGTCGCAGTGGGTCTGAAATCTGAAAATAATCGGCATGACAAGAAATTGCTTAGCTATGGGATAATAAGTTAGCACAAGACCAAGCCAACCCGGGCAAATTTTGATGTTTTTCTATTGAAGGCATCAACTGCTACAGACGACGATAAGGCAAAGGTAGTAAACTTCTCTTAATCCCTCTTGATTCTGAAACTACGGATCTCTTAATGAAGGGGTTACATTTTTCACTAGGTAATGAAGGAAACGTTCTTAGTGATATTCTTGTGGAAGTTGTCAACATAACAGATAAATATCCAGAAGAGACAAAGTAAGAGATGAAACTAGAAATAATCCCACGGATCCTGACACATCGAGAACCGATACACAGGAGCAGATTGGCTGGTATTTGGGAAAACAAACATTAGAAAAGAATGATCAAATAGTTCTTAAGGCGGATAAGGGAGGAGCGACTGTTGTAATGGACAGAAAACAGTACACGGAGAAAATGGAAAGTATCTTTGTCGACCGGAACACTTATCAAATACTAAGGAAGGATCCAACCACGAAGATCAACGGGAAGCTGAAGAATATACTCAAGGAAATGCATAATAAGGGGGAAATTGACAGATGGATGATGAAATCTTTATTCAAAAATGTCTTAAGACCACTGACAACCTACACACTACTGAAAATACACAAGGAAGGTAATCTGCTAGCGAAATTTATTTGCTTGAGCCTCAGGAAAGTAAATAACAGACTCTTGAATACCGTTAAGAATTCATATGAATTTTTTTAAAGGATCCAGAACATTGGGTTATTGGGGTCGGAACTGTTGGTGAGTTTCGATGTACAATCCATGTACACAAACATCTCAGGTGTGAGATATTGAGCGAGAAGAGGACATCCTGGAGACAGAACGGATACGGAAAGAATCGTTAACACGACTGATCAACCTGATAGTAAGGACCACATATTTTACATTTAACGTCAGTATCTACGAGCAAATATTTGGACTACCCATGGGATCTCCACTCTCACTCGGTGAATCTACTCTTCCAATCGATCTATTAAAACAAGAAAATTCCCCAGGTTTTCTTTTCCATGTTGTCAAATAGCAAAGTAGTCGTCCATATAGTGAACTAAAAATTTAGAAACTAAAAGTGCCTCCTGAATTAGGCGTTCCTCAATTTGAGCCATGTAATTATTTGCTGAAATTGTTGCCAAACAAGATCCCATGGCTAAACCTCGTGTTTGTTTGTATAGTTTACCATTAGACGTAAAATTTGCACAGTGCATCGTCAGGTTGGTCAGCATTATTATTGGCACTTTACTTTTTACTCCATAAAATCTCCGCGTCTTGGTCTAGTGTGGATTACGTGGCCT